CTGTCGGAGCTTAGCCCCTTACCCCGTTCTCTGTCTCCACCTCTCTGACCTGCTGTCTCTGGGGTATTTTGCATTATTACCCAACACTCCCTGCGCTCATCCTCCCTGAGGTTTCCCCCAATAATTTTCCCCACTGAAAACCTCCGAGGAGCTTTGGAGCTAAATTTTCTGGTGTAGCATCTTTGGGGGGGTGGAGGGGTCAGGAGGTAGCAGCTGGACTCCAGCGCAAAGCTGAGTAGAAAGGACAGTCGCAGAGCATGGCGGAAGCTGGTTCCATTGATTTCTCGTTTCTCCCTTGTAGAGCTGCCCCTTTGCTGGTGTCCAGCTGGCCCATGGTAAGTGCAACAATTGCCCTGGCCATGCTGCAAACAGGAGGCCATCCTAGAGTACTACTTCATTGTCTTTCATGAAGGAAAGCAGGCTGCATCCGTGCCCTTCTGTGGAAGCTGCTCTGTTCTTTGTCCTGAATAGCAGGAGCCTAGAGATGTGTGATAGGCACTGAGAGTGATGTATTAGTGCAAACCGGAGACTCTGGACAGGTGTCCCATCCTATCATATGAACACCGTGCATTGCCCCACCTGTGCTGCTCTCTTAGATGTCTTACGAGAAAGAAAACGAGCAGGCAAACCCAGCAAGTGCGTGTGTGTAGGTCCCATCTGGAGATGGGAAGCTCAGTGCTTTACACTTCACCGACTGCCCCCCCCCAGCTTGTCCACTTCTAGGGTTCCCAGATAGTTTCACAAAAAATACTGAACATGGTGGGGAAAAAAAATTGGTTGAGCAAAAAAAACAAAACCATGGGGACTAAAGTTGTTGAGCAAAAAAAAAGTCACGGCATCTTTAAAGCCCCACATTTCCCCTGCCCCCGCCAGACGCAGCAGGGGAAGAATGTCCCAAGCAGCCTTCCATCCAAGAAAAACAGAAAATACCAGACATGTTACATACTGCAAATACCTAGGGTTGCCAGGTGTCGGGTATTGGCCCAGACAGTCCGGTATTTGTGGCCGCTGTCTGGTTAAATGCCCCTCTCCCCCGCCCCAGAAAATACTGGACATGTAACGTATCTGGTATTTTCTGTTTTTCTCGGATGAAAGGCCACTTGGGACATTCCTCCCCTGCCACATTTGGTGGGAGAAGGGGGGGGGGGGAGGAAACAGGGAGTTTTAAAGCCACAGTGTTTTTTTTTTCCGTTAACAACTTTGGTTTCCCCCCCCCCCCCTTTTTTTTTGCTCAACCAATTTTTTTTCCCCACCATGTTCAGTATTTTTTGTGAAAGTAGCTGGCAACCCTACAAATACCAGACTGTTTGGGCAATACCGGACACCTGGCAACCTTATCTACTTCTGGGCACACCACCCAGGTTTACTGTCACCCCACATTTCTGACTGGAGACTATGCTCCACTGTCCCAGGCCTGGGCCCTGCTAAGTTGCCAGGTGTCCGGTTTTGAACTGGACAGGCCAGTATTTGAGCTTTCTGTTTGGGAAACTAATTGAGAAAATATAAATGGCCGGTATTTTCTAAATAAGATGCCATGTAGATTGTGATGTAATGTCAGGTGTGTCTGTTATTTTTTGTTGAAATCATCTGGCACCCCTAAGCCCTGCACCGTGCCACCTTGGATCAATTCAGCTTTAGTTTTCAAGATGTTTGAAGGTCTGGTTTATGTGAGTAGAGAGGATTTGTTTAGCAGGTTACTGGGCCTTCCTTAGATGCCCCATCCCGTGGAACCACAGAGTGTCCAAGGTTGGGACAGAGAGAGAACGCCTATGGGCACATGGCTGCATCGCCCTCGTCCCTAGAAGTGGCAAAAGGCCCAAATTTCCCTCAGTTTGGGTGTAGGAGGCGTTGTGCTGCCAGAGCTAATTACCACCCAGCATAAAACATGTTTTACTGCATTTTCTACTCAGCTGAACAAGCTGTAGGAGCATCTCACGCTGTCTGGACACTAGTGCTGGCGCTGCACACCTTAGGGTGTGGTTAAACACTTTCTGCCTGCTGCAGCACACAGGGGCTGCTTGCCTGGCCCACTCCCTGGGTTTCTGGCTCGCTCTGGGCTGTGCTGGGTCTAGTGGTGGCTCTGGCTTTTGGTGACTAAACTGGACCAATACCTGTGGAGAAAACTGAGAAAGATTCTTGTAGCTCAGACGTATGAGTCGTGATCACGTGCAGTTCTGGGGCACTAGGTGAGGCGCAACTAAAAGCACCATTTTTCTACTATACGTTTTACTTCCCTGGTTGAGGCTGAGGTTGGCCTGTAGCCAGAGGTGTAAAAGTAAGCAGGTGCACCATGCCAGCAAGAGCTGGCAGGGACCCAGGCTGCAATGGGATAGTACCTGTAAAAATTTTTAAGTTATTTTCACCGCTGCCTGTAGTGCGAGGCAATGTCGGTGCCGTGTGTCACCACACCATCCAGAACCCCTTGTTTTAGGCTAACCCTGATAGCTGACTTAATTTCTCTTATATGCTGGCCCTTATGGTGAAGGGCACCCAGTTGTGCAGGGCTACTCAAGATGGTCATTGCTCATTGAAAGTGCTGACATATGGGTGGAAATTGGGTAAATATTGTATTTTATTGATATCCACAGGACTGACTTAAATGGGGCCTGTGTGTTGTGTAGTCGTCTCTTAATCTTTGTAAAGTTGAGTAGCCCTGCAGCAGTGTGGCCTCAATTACTCTGCATGCTCCTCATTCATCTTGAGGCAGGCCCGGACAGTGCCATCTCCAGCAGGTGAAGGGCAGTGAACTTGCCTGGCAAGGCATCCCCACGTTTGTGTTGTGCCTACGCACATGCTGTGTGCGCATCACAGTGCAGTACATATGAATGTGCTAAAATGCATGAAAGGTTGTGTCAGGCTTCAGAGTCTGGCATGCCCAGCCCCCATCTCGAGTGCAGAACGCTTGGAGCAAGTGTAACAGCGATGGCTTTCATGTGTTGAACTTGCTTTTGTCTCCCATAAATTACTCACAATGAGAGCCTCACCAAGAGCAGGCAAGTCCCAACGCGAGTCTCCGAGCTGGCTGTGCGCGCGTAGCTGCCTGTTGGAAACACAGAGCTGGAAATGTCCCACGTGCTGCGGGCAGAGCTCCAGCACGAACAAACTGCTGTGCTCTGAGGGCGGCTTAGGAGCGTGTTCGGATAATAACATCTGAAAACAGGATGGCTGGGAGCAGCAGCAGCGCAACCAGGGGGCTTTGAAAGAGAGAGGAGTCTTAATCCCCTCCGCTAACAAGGAGGCGGCAGCTGCCAAGGCAGCGGCTTTTGGCAGGCTTCGTGCTGCTGCTTCTAGGCTCCTATTGATGGGTGGCAGAGAAGGCCGGGCGGTACAAATGGACACCTTTTCAGGGGCGGCGAGCAAGGCATTTTTTTTTTGCTTGCTTTGAGTGTCATGAGCTGGTCAGGCTGTGGTGGAGTTGGAGGGACTGGGAAACGGTTAGACTAGCCTTTGGGAGCATCTCACACGGCACTGCTGGGGCTAAGAAGCAAAGCTGCAAACAAGGTGACGAACGCCACGAGAGTCAAGCATTTGCTTTGCGTGTGTGGGAACCATCTGTGCATTGAGGACGATAAGTCCCAGCCCTGCTCAGCAGGCAACTGGATTTGTGCTCGGTCTGTGGGTGGCCATTGAAGGCAGGTTTCACTGTGCATGGGTTGTTGGCTTAGGCATATGGGCAGCACATCAGTTCAGCTCAACCCACATGCTTACCAGAGGCCGTCTTTGTTGGGCTAGCACATCCCTCTCTCCTGCTCACCGGTGGTCAGGCCTGGAGTAATTCTCCCTTGGGAATACAGCAGTGGTGCATGGGAAAGCTGTACTGCATGTTTACTGGCGCTCTAGCTAATCTTGTATCTTTTTCTCCCTCTCGCAGTGCAGATCTGCTGCTCTGCAGCGGTGCCACATCACACAGGGGCAGTACTGGAATGTCCTCCTGGTCCAAAGCCAATGACCTGTACATCTCATCCCAGGTGGCTGTCATAGATGCAGCATGAGGAAAGCAGGTCCTTACTAAAAAGTGGAGGCTGCTGAGAAGCCAGGTAAACAGCAACTTATGCCAGAATAGAGTTGGGCTTACTCCTGCCTCTTCATTGGTTGCCCTGCTTGGTGGGGGTTCTTTACTAGCCTGAACATTGGAGTAGGGCTTTAACACTGCAGTTTGTAGAAGTTAGCTTGTGTAGCCTTCCAGCCAGAGCACCTGCCTTTCCCCAACTCTGCCCACTTGCATGACTCCAGGACATTCCTGTTCTCACTCGGGTAGGCTAGTCTGTACACAGCTTACGGTATGTAGACATATCAAAATCCTGCAAACACATGGAAACATTTTACACAAGAGAGTAAACCCAGTGACTATTCTGAGTAAAATTACTCATATGCTTAAATGTTTGCAGGAGTGAAAATCCATGGCAGCAGGGCTCAGCCTCTCAACTCTTTGGCTATGTCTACACTCGCGGCTTCTTGCGCAAGTATGGCCGTTCTTGCGCAAGAATCCACAGAGCGTCTACACTGCCCGCCCACTCTTGTGCAAGGAAATTTACAGTACGGCGTGGTAAGAGAAGGCTCCTTGCGCCAGAGCTACGCTCTTTTTTAACAGGTGTAAGTACTCTTGTGTAGGAGCTCTTGCGCAAGAGGGCAGTGTGGACGCTCGGCAGGGATTTCTTGCACAAGAAAGCCCTATGGCTAAAATGGCCATCAGAGCTTTCTTGTGCAAGAGAGCGTCCACACTGCCATGGGAGCTCTTGTGCAAAAGCACAGCGTGCACATGGCAGTGTGGACGTGTTCTTGCGCAAGACTTCTTGCACAAGAACCCTGGCGCAAGATGTTCTTGCGCAAGAAGCCGCCAGTGTAGACAAAGCCTTTGAGTCCTGATGAAAACATGAAAACAAAGAGGCTCTGCCCTGGCACTGGATGGGAGCCTTAAGAAACCATTCAGAAACCTCTGAGATCCTTAAAAATAAACAAGCCAGAGACAAATAAACCCAATGAATAAGGCAACTTCTGCATATGTTTGTTTGGGTATTTTTTTTTCCAGTTTTTATTGAGTGAAAATGTCAAACCTTGCATCAGTCATGCAAAAAAAAAAAAATCAAATAAATAAAACACATATATTAAATTTCTAATAGCACTAAATTCAAGTGGAAAAATATTCAGTTCTTAATAATGCAGGTGCTGAAGAGACCAGATTCAAGTAAATCAGAGCACACCGTCCTGTTTAGGGTGTTTTTTTTTCTTTTCACTTTCTGCATTTTTTTTTTGTCTCAAAACCTATATATATCTATCTATATATCTATATATATGTATATACATATAGATATATATACACACACATATATATATGTGCATACATATTATTTTTATATTTATATATATACACATACATATTTATAAAACATTAAAAAGAGCATTGGTGGTTCAAGCATTATTTCCCTTCCCTCCCCCATGGAAATAAAAATAAAACAACAACAAAACAAAATTACACATTTAAAATTCAAAATGAGCTAGCAATGGCTTATAGTCCTAGTGTGCAATATGGATATTACAAAAGGCTAAAATTCTCCCTCCCTTTTGTTTTAAATCTTGGGGTTTTTTTTTGCTACATTGAAAAAAAAGTTTATTTTTAAACTTTTTTTTTTTAACAAAATTCCTTCCACATAGACATTAATCCAGTTGAGTGTGTGGCTAGAACAGCCTAGTTGATTTTTTCCCCTCTCTTCAGCAGCAAATGGTAGGAGAATTGGGAGGGTTTGTCTCGAGGGCTTTTGGGGTTGTGTGTGTGTGTTTGTTTTGAACAGAATAATTCAGTCACATCTCTCCCCCTCCCTAAATCAGCTGAACTCCCTGATCCTAAGGTCAGCAAGCTACTTTAAACACATGCCTACATTTCCTTATGTGAGCAGCCCCCCACCAGTGGTTAAAGTTACACACAGTTTGCTGAATTGGGACCTGTGTGCTGGACCATGGGCTCAGTTCAGAAACGCACTTAAATCCATCCCTGTTCAGCAATTCCCTTAAGGAAATGCTTTCCTAGACGCCCATGCTTAGGTCTCATTTAAAAAAAATGCAATTTAAACCTCTGCTTACAGACTTTGCTGAATCAGGGTCTTCATGTGGCAGAAAAGAATTGGACAGGCTTGCTGGTTTTAACCTATCTTGATTTTTCAGTGGTAGAAGACGAAATAAAAGCAATGGTGTAAGGAAACAGGCAGATTGAGCAGTGTGTGTGTAAGGTGGTGTGGCTGAACCTGAGGCCCCATTAACCTGGGCACATTCTCAGTGCTTTGGGAGGGCTCAGCTCCTGGTGGGCAGGTTGAGTCTGGTACCCGCCTGTCCCTTCCCAATGCCAGCTCCTGAAAATGAGAACGCTCTAAAGTGGGTGGAGGTTTGGTGGGAAGAAGGTTTGATGTATGGGTCAGAGATGGATGAGGGCACAGGGATGAGTCATAAACACAGCTCCTGCTGAGGGTGGGGGAGGGAGTGGTTTTTCTGTTCTCCCACCTCTGCCTCAGCCCCACAGAGCTGCCCGCTTATAAGATTCAGCCAGTGGAGGCTGTAAGTTCGGAACTTGGGGAGACACATTTGAAGATGCAGGCTCCTAGCTGATTTACAGCAGCAAAGCAGCAGTGCCAAGGGAGCCAATTTCAAACTGGGCTTGGCCATGTTCAACCTGAATAGCAACCACTAGCTGCTGGGAGTGCTCTCCATCTCCATTATCTTACCCTGCCATGGCTCCCTGATCCTGAACACACTTATGGCTGTGTCAGTCTGAGTTTGTGAGTAGACCCACTGCAGTAAATGGCAACACTCCTGTTGACGTCACTGGTGCAAATTACAGTTTGGAGCCATATTAGGACTGGAAGGTTTTCTATAGCACTCATCATGCTAGCAGGTAAGTGCCTGAACAAGGGCAACACAGTATGAAACCTGCAACTAAATGCTCTGAGTACAGCCAATCTGCCCCATCCAGCCTCTGGGATGACATGTCCCAAGTCCTTCTCTGCACCCGCTTCCTTATATTGGTGATGTTGGGTGGGGGGAATACGGTAATAGTGGAGGGTCGTGCTAGCAAACAAGCAGCTGGGAGGGGGGAGAGTAACAAACCAAAATAAAACCATCTGAAAAATAAAAAGCCACACAAATAAACTCTAGCGACAACCTCCCTTCAATTTAACTACAGTCTTCTCTTCACAACCGCCATTTCTTTGTTTTTGTTGTTTTGTCTCTACAAAATTCAAGTTAAAATTCAGAATCGTGCAGCTCCAGTCAGTGCTAGGAGTATGAAATTAGCCTCAAACCTTGGGATTAAGGCCCCTCCCCCTCTGCTGCCCCCTATCAATAAATGCTAATAAGAAAACCTCCAAACCCTGAAAGAGAAAAAAAATTGCACACAAGTAACCAAATCTAGGCTCTAAGGGCTATCCAGAAGGCAGGCCCATATCCCTCTGGCAGGCATTGTTTCTCTTTGTTCTATATATAATAACCTTTAAAGGAAAAATACTGTACAATCTTTTTTTTTGTTTTTTTACTTTTTTTCCTTTTTCTCCCCCCTCCTCCCCACACCTTTTCTTTTTAAGCATTAGCCGAGCATCTCCCTGCATTTAAACAGCTGAGGAGCTTGTCTATAGTTTGGACCCAGATCTGTGCTGGCTCCTTAGGAAAATAGTAAGAACAAACAACCCAAATTGCTTGAGGCCTCTTTCTGTGTAGGGCAGAGATGAATGACAGGGCTTAGGGGGTTTGTTGTTAAAAAAAATAATTAAAACAGAACAAAGTAAACAAGGGCCAAATCTTAGACACAAGGGAGCAAAATGTCCAGCTTGGCTGCATACATACAGAGGCACCAACATCATTGCATCAAGCTGAATTCACACCTTTAGTACTTTTGGGGCCAGTGCATGTGTGCAGACCAGTGCCCCATCTCAAGATCTGAGATTGGGGAGTCAAACAGCAACCGTTTTGTGGATGAGAATGCTGGATAGTCTCATGTAGTGTGTGTGTGTGTGTGTGTGTGTGTGTGTGTGTGTGTGTAAACTCTTTACTGGAGGGGCTGGGGACAGAGACCAGTGGGAGAGCTGAGTCCTGTAGGTCTGTCCAGCTACCATAGGTTGACTGCGGGAACTGTACCCAGACCTGCTGTGCAGTTGCAGGCCTTGGTGTGATTTGCCCAGGTGGAGTAGGCTTGATATGCTACCGAACTGCAGGGAACAGTGCTCTCAGCTTCCACAGGAGTGGACAACAGCAGCCAAGGAGATTCAGGCGCATGATCCGAGCAATCAATAGCTCTCCATCCAGCATCTGAGGAGAGAGCCAAGCACTCCCACTGCCCACCTAGTGTCTGTCTTAGCCCCCCACCCCATCAGTGTAGGTGGTGGCTTCACTCCCATCTTCAGGAAATTCATTAGCCTTTGTACAGAATCTATTTGCCCACCCTCACCTTGAGGAGGAAAACACTGAGGATCCTCTGCTTGCTCATCATTTAAAAAAAATATCAATGGCCTTGCGTCAAAGGGCAAGTAGCATTTCACAAGGAATTGCTTTGGTGGCATTGCTCTGCCAACACTGAGGCAAAGGATACTAATCTCACCTGCTGCTCTGGCCTCCATTCACAGACTGCCTGAGACAAGGGTGCTGTCTCTGAAGCACCAAAAAGAAAGAGCCTTGACAAAGAGGGGTAGCACCTGGGGATGGGAGTGGGGGTTAAACCCCAGTCCTCCAGTGTGAGTGACAGACCCTTTAACTGCCATGTGACGACCTTCCCTATCA